AAAAAAAAAAATCTAAGAATCCACTTCTACAAGTGAATGGACTAGGAGATCTCAGAGGCTCTTGTGCATGAGCCTGGTAGTTAAGAATGGGCCTCCTCTCCCCATGGGCTGGCATACATCACCCATGGCAGTGTTCACGTGGTGTGTTCCAGAACACCTGGGCTTACCACACTGGCCACAGTCAACTCCCAGTGAGGCAGGGTTTCCATCTGGGCCTCCAAATATCACCCGGGCATGGGTCTTTCACCCAGGACATGACAAATAGCAGGGGGCCAGGTGTTTTTCTCTTGCATGTCTGGACTCTACTGTCTGTGAACCTACTGCATAACCCCTGGGAGAGGTCAAGTTGTGCCACATTGCTGAAACATCTCAGACACCAGCACACATCTACATCTGTGAGATGTGTCAGCTAAACAAACACCCTTTTGCAGGCTACTACCAACAGTTCTGAACACATCCAGCAGGGGTACAATGTGCAGGAAAGGGCTAAGACTGGGATCTGAAGGCCAGGCACAAGTTGAAGATTTATCTGTGGGCCTGGAGAAAGCCACTCATCTGCACTTTAGTTTTCATGTGCAAAATGAGGAAACTGTAATTAAACCCATCTCATGGAAGAACCTGGCATGGTGGCTGGCACTTACTAGGTGTTTTTATTAAAATAATTCCTCTACCAGAACAGAATGAATGTATCTAGCTAATCTAATGAGGCAAGTGTATTATCCCCATTTTATAGACGAGAGATTGAGGCTCTTGGAGGTGGAATGGCTTTCCTAGGGTCTCCTAGCTGACAGTGGTAGAGCCAGGCTTCACATCCAGGCCTCCTGACAAGATCTCGGCTTTTGAAGCCCCAGGAGAGCAGCACAGAGGAGGACCAGACTGCCTGCAGGAGGAAGCATCCCTGCCCATCCTGCTGGGCTCACAGGGCAGGGTTATGGAGCTGGGTGGGGAAGGCTCTTCATAAGTGCTGGAGGGTCCAGGCAGTTAGAGGCTCAATCTCTCACCTTCTTTTCCTGGGCTGGATTCCAAAGGTGACCTACCATGTTATGGCAGGACCTCAGCCTGGAAGGGCAGGACCTTGGCAGTGCCTGGTCCCACACCTGGTGAGGCTATTTCCTAAGATATTCTCTGGAAACACCCATGGAATCTGGCTCAGAGAGTCTCTGGAGTGAGCAGACAATATGCCTGGGGTGGCTAAGTGTCTCTCTGGTGGTGTGGGCCCTCCTCATTCCCGCAGCCTTGGGGTTCCTCTGCTTTCCTTGAGGATCCAGCAAGGATTGGCAACAGGAGGCCAGCCGAGCCTCAAGGTCCCCCTTCTCAGTCTGGGATGCCCCACAATGGGCCCACAGAGGCTCCAGACAGGCGCTGTACTGAGGGAGTGTGCCACTGGGGTCCTGGGCATAAATCCTGCAGCCTGTCCTCTGGTGTGGGACTTGGGAGTGATGTGCCCACGGGAACCCAAAGAACAGAGTGGGCTCTTGTCACTAGTTTTGTGTGAACACATTCTGGGCCAGTACTATGTCTGCTAGAGGCCCACTCTGTTGGCTGGCTGCCCTGCTCACTGTTCAGAGTTCTGGATCACAGCTTTCTGACTGGTGTCCTGACTGGCTCTGTCCCCAGCTCATGCCCCTGCCCTTGTGGCCTTCAGTTTTCCCATGGCTAGTTGAGGCTGGAAGGCTGCAGAATTCCTGGGTTGAGAGATTTGCTGTGCAGAGTTGGCCATTTGTTCTAGGCATAGCTGAGTAAGAAAGTGGCGGCCACCAGCAGGCTGTGTGTGGCTCCAGACATTTTTTTTTTTACAAGGAGGGTCCAGGAGAGCAGGTGGGGCTGCTTTACCCCACTTTACTGCTGGCTTAGCCTAAGAAGCTCACCAGACCAGGGGAGACCAGGATGGGAGCTCTGGTCAATGTTCATTCTTTCATTCACCATCAAAGACACAGAGACGATTAAGTGGTGCCTACCCTTCCAGAGCCCAAGGTGAGGGTGAGAGACAGAAGCAGCCCCATCCACCAGTTATAATGTGGGGAACAGTCTAGAGGCGGGAGAAGGCAAGGAAGTGGGAGCTGTGAAGGCTTAGACTGGGCTAGCAGTAGGGGGACAGAGTGGATGAGTTTGGGGTCTTTCTGGTGGTCTGTCTGCAGATCTGACCAGTGCCTGACAGATTTCTGGAGATGGGAGAGTGGAGCTGGGCACGACACTTGTGTGCTGGCCTGGTATTGAGTGGACATCGTGCCTCCATGGATCTGGAGTTTCAGGAGAGGAAGTCAGCATCTAGGGCTGCCCACACTGCTGGGCTATTCCTCTTTAGACAGTTTCCTCTGCCACAGAAGAGAGCTTCAGAGCACCCAGGTGCTGGGTGACTCTGGTCCTGGGTCCTGGGGCAGGCAGGTGGGAACCATGTATTCAAGTGGGGGAGCTGGCTGTCACTGGCCTGTCTCAGACTCACTCTCTGGGGCTCCTCTCAGGGCTAAGGAGGAGGCAGGAGGTGAATGACACACACTGGTTGCCCATGGGAATCTCTGAGGCTGTTCCAGTGCAGGATGCACTGCCCAGAGGACCACAGGGTGGTGGTGGGTGTTTGGTGGGCCTCTGGGTGGTGCAGGAGGGGGAGAAGGTGCTCGAGGACCACTTCTCTGCATGGGTCCTCCAAGTTGTCCTGACTCACACTAGGCCTTTGACAGGTGTCCTGCAGCAGGAGAATGGCCCTGGCCTCTCCATGAGATCAGTCAATGTTCTGCTACTGCAGGCTCCTCCAGACCCTCTGTGGGACCCCTACTTTCCCTGACACCTGTGTCTGAACAGCTCCCAGAATCCTAGATGGCCCAGGCCAGTCCTGGATCTTCCTGTTCAGATGAATAAACTAAGGCTGGGAGAAGGGACTAGTCTTGCTGAAGGTCATAGTGGGCCATGGAAGGGCTCCCACATGAGCCCAGATCTCTTTCTGTCTAGCCGCTATGGGACTGTCTCTGAGGGCCTGTGCCAGTGCCCGAGACCCTTCTTTGTCCTTGAACTGTGCTAGGGGATGCAGAGGAGGAAAGAGCAGCCCAGATAGATGTACCCTTGGTTCTTGCCCTTGAAGTATTTGGGGTTGAACGGGTGGTGGAGGGGCAGACCTCAAACACTGGACATACCCTATCACAAAGTCAGGGCATCCATAGGTTCCTCTGTGGGTTAGACTGAGTGCTGGACCTGGAGGGCAGTGTGTCTGAGGATGGGCCAGGGAAAGGGAGGGTAGGGGGCAACAATGATGAGCCTAGCAGAAGGCATGGTGAATATGCTTGTAAACATCGCCTTTAATTCTCAAGAAACTGGAAGTGAATTCTGTCAACCCAAATTGCAGGTAATTCTAGCAAGAAAAAAAAAATGTTGCTATAAGCTATTGAGCAAAGTTATTGAAGACATATCATATCCTGGTCCCAAGATAAACATTGCTGTCACCGGCAAAGACATCCACAGGAAAAAGGAAGAAAAGTGAAGGAGAAGAGGGACACTCAGCAAGCCCTGCACCTGAACATCTACATGAACTTCTACATGAAGAGGCTGATCCCCCAATAGAGAGCATCAAGTCCATGGATCCATATTGTGATTATATGTGTTATAGTGATGATGGTCATCTTGGCTGCCATTTTGAGTTCTTATTATGTGACAGGTTATTTAAATGCTGTCACTAATTCTTACCACCACTCTAAAGGCAGACATTGAAATTCATCAAATACTTATGGTTATCACTCCCATTTATGGAAGAGGGAATTGAGACTTTGAGAAGGTAATAGCTAAGGTGACTCAGGTAGAGTGGGACCTAGAGCCAGGACTGTCGATGGCCAGAGCCCAGCACCTCCCCTGGGGCCACATGGCCCTCACAGCCTCGGCTCTGGCTCTGTTGGGTGGGCCTGAGATTGGGATGGACAGTGGAAGCTCTCAGTATGGCCCCTGGGGCAGGAAAGAGCCTGGGAAATTAACCTTGACTTGGCAGGGTCACTTCCCTAGCCCACAAGGACTGTTATGGAAGGACCCTTGTCCATAGCAGAAGGACAGTTTAGGTCCCAGCTCTGTTGCTTTCCTGCCCCACTCTGGGCCTTGACTTTTCCCTTCATGAAGTAGAGGTCAGGGTTCCAAACCTGCTCCGAAGGCAAAGAAGCAGATCTTGTCTTCATTCTCTTGCAGAAGCGCCATGACCCTCTTCCCCATGCGTTCATTCCTCTTGTAGATGAGCTCCTGGCGGAAGTAGCTGTCAATCTCCTGGGCTGTCACTTGCTCATGCGGTGGGAGGGTAGTGTTGATAAAATTGGGGAGCTGCAAAAGCAAGACAGAGGCTGCCTTCCATTCTTGACAGAGCAAGGTGCATATCAGATACACACGCGGCACAGGCAGGGCTGGGCAACTTACCTTTGCGAGGCTGGACAGTGGGCTACATGCTTCATGCATGCCTGTCATCAATTCCAATACCCTCTGAAATAAGTATTGTTTACAGATGAAGCAAACAAGAGCAGAGAATATCCTGAGATATGTGCAAAGTCACTCAGCTGGTGAAGTGACAGAGCTATCCTGAGAATCCTGGCTACTGCAATGGTACGTGTGCCATCCTGCTTCCTGATCTGCCCTGGTGAACCTCAGCTCCTAGACATTGAGTATGAGTATGCTGGGACCATACTCATCTCTCCCTTTAATGCTGAGCCTAGCACTGCCACATGCAATGAATTCTGTTCAGCAAGAGGGTGTCGGGGTCAATCCATCTGCCTGGTGTGTCAGGAAGACCACAAGGTATGGAATTAGGTTGACATGAGCTTTCTCAACCCTGTCTGACACTGTATGGTGCTGGGCAAGTTATTTAACATTTTTGATCCCCGGTTTTTCTCATTTATAGGACAGGACTGATGTTTTCATGGGGATTAAATGGGATGCTGCCTTGAACTGCATTTGGCTCACCCCACTCTACAGAGAAGAGAGGGGGTAGCATCACCTTCAGTTCTTCCAATGTCTAAGCCACCATCTACCCACCCCTGGCTCCCCAACTTCTCAGGACATAACATAAACTCTTTGGTCTCTCTCTCTCTCTCTCTCTCTCTCCCTTATTTTTATGTGGTGCTGAGGATTAGACTCAGTGTTTCATACACACTAGGCAAGTGCTCTACCACTGAGCCACAACTGCAGCATTGCCCCCCGCCCCTCTTACACTTTTGGTCCCTTCTTGAAAATTTCAACCCCAGGACCACAGCTTCTCCCATTTGACACTTGTTCCACAACCTGTCTTGGAATTGCCAAGGTTTCTCAGCCCTGGGCCCTTCATCATCCTGCCCTCCACAGCCAGTCACGGGGACTGGCAACGGCACTGCCAATGTGCTCTTAAACTATGCAGAGAGCTGTCTGAGTTCAAAAACAGAATCTTTGTCATTCTGGGTTCTTGGTACCTGGACAAAGTGCCCTCTGAGAGGTCCTAAAACTTGAACATACGTTGATGTTGACCCTTCCTGACTTTAGTTGCTTCTCCTGTGTTCTTTGATGCCCAGGGTTTCATCTTTCCAGTGTGGATCGCAGGCCTAGCCAGCCAGCACCATCTCCTTGAATGTATGCATGGGGCCAAGGAAGAAATGGAGGCAGTGAGTCACAGCACAGCCTCTCCTTCCTCACAACCCATCAGTCACTGCCATCTCCAGACTTTTGCTGGCAGAATCCCTTTCACCTGGTCTTTCATTTCCCCAACTTCCACTTCTCTCCCTGCTTGCAGAATGTGAGACCACATTGTACCAACACATAAACATTTGCTCAATCAGTGTGAGTAGGTGAGTGGACACCTTGGGTTGGAGTCCCTCTTTTGCAGCTTACTAGCTGGGTGGCCTTACTCTAACTGGAAGGTGTCTTGGCCTCTGGGAGAATCAGTTTCCAAACTGGAAATAAGGTGGGGAGCAGGGGATACATTATTGTAGGGATGACATGTTTTGGAAAGTGCTTAACACAGTGCATGGCACCAAGGAAGTCTCCACGAACGTCATCTATTACACACCTAGCTTGGGGGCTGGTGCTGGCTTCATCACCTCTTGTGTGAGGACACAGGCAGCCTGTGAAGGGAGGCCTTGGGCTGTGGGTAGAGACGGAGAGGACAAATCGAGGGTCACCAGAACCATGAGATCCATGAAAGCAGCACTGTACTTCCCTTCCCTCTTCCAAGGGTCTCTGGGACCCGTGATCATGTGACCCCTCCTCCTAGGTTCCTGACCATAACTGTATACTGGTATAAAATGCAATTCCACTTATTCCTTAGGGAGTTTAAAAAAAATTAACAAGATCAAGAGCAAAAAAATTAAATTTCAAAGCCATGAAGACATCAGGGGGACATTCAGGTTCCCCAGGCTGTCCAGCTGTTGGCTGACATTCTCTGCATTTTCATGCTGATGGGCCTTGACTCTGTGCCAAGGATGGGGCCTGGGTCTGGGCCAGGGCTGAAATGGGAGCAAATTAATGATGTCATTAGACTAGTCATGGGCCTTAAATCTCCCATGACAAGTTTAAGTGCAGGATGCATGATAGCATTTCAAAGAGGACATGTAAAGTCCCCAGGGTCCAGAGCTCAGTCTGGGATAGGGGGCAGGCAGGGCTGGTGGGGCTGTGAGAGATGGCTCAGGCTGGTCAGATCTGATGGTCAAGTGCTCAGGTCTGCTGATGACATTGATCTCAACAAACCCTTTCCCTTTATCCTTCCATCTGGCAGGACCTTCTGCGACCCTCCACAGGTCCAGCCCTGGGTCAGGGTAGGGGCTCTAGAGCACCCTTAAACTGGGTCTGCTGCCCTAGTTGGGGCTCACAGCCTAGTAGTGGAGTCGCACAGGCCCACAAGAGTGCTGTGTGATGTATGCTTGAAGAGGCCCGAAAGGAGCTCACTGGAAGCAGCAGATGGTGGGGCCACATGTCTTGGTTTGGCCAGGACAGTGCAGGTTTGTGGTTGGAGATGTTCCACACCTGTCAATCATTTTGACTCTGAACTGTAATTCATTCTCAAAGGGGTCTGCATTTGGACAAGACACATATGTAACTGCCCTACACCTCAGGTAGGCTGGGGGCACAGGCAAGTCTTCCTGGGGGAGGACCTCGGGATGGCCCAGTCCATGTTGGGGCAGTGACAGTGACAGTGACCTGGGGGCTGCAGAAGCCAAGGCAGTGCAGTAGGGAAGCAGGAACCAAGTGGGAGGTCTACTTGGGCCCTGTACCTGTCTTGGTCTGGCCTCCAGAGGCCGCTTATCCTCCCCGGCACTACAGCCCGAGGCATCTTTCTGATCACATCACCCTTGGGCTCAGACTCTCCAGGCTCTCACCATCAGCAGGAGTTTTTGCCCCTGCATGATCTGCCCTCTGCTCTGTAAAATCATGCCTTCAGGTGGGCCCACATCCCCATACCCCACCAATCAGCCTGCTCTGCCTGCCAGCCCCTCCCTCTATTCTCCCCTGTGAACTCCACTCTCGAGCCTTGTTTCCATTCACCCTCTCCATGAAGCCTTCTGAGGCTGCAGGCAGAGTGACTGGCCCTACATCCTCTCTATCCCCAGCCTCCACAGACTGCAGATGCATCTCCACCACAGCCAGATCACGTAAGCCCTGGGTTCAGCCTTGCTACCCTGACACAAGACTTTCTGTTTCTGGGGCAGAGTTGCCTAGTCCTCCTCAAGGGTAGGTTCTGCCTGAGCATTCTGGTGTGCATCCTGGGTGGCTATGGTACTATGGGTGGACCAGTCCACTCACTCTCTGTCCCACTTCAGTATGGGCACTGCTGGAGGACCCCTGAGGCAGTTCTCTACTACCAGAGACAAATCAGTGCTTCTGAACACAGACCAAAGAAAATGTGAGCTCACTATCCCCTGAGGTCATCCTGCACCTTCCTCTTTCAGTTTGGTCAGCCATAGCCTGGCCACATCACAGCCAGGGCAGCCTCTCTGCCCAGAGCTCTCCCCACCTCTCTCCCAGAGGGTGATTCAGGTCAAGGCCTTGCCATAATGCTGAACTAATGAGATTTCTACCAGCCTTGTGGTGTCTGGGTTCTCTCCTTCACTTCTCTTCCACCTAGTCAGAGCCCTCAGAATCTCAAGCATCCTACAGCAGGGTCTGTGGTTCCTTCTTTTTTTAACCTTTTAAGCTGCTCCAAGCACATAATATGCCTACATTTGCTTGTTTGATGGTTGCTTTCTGGCACATGCTCTGTGCCAGGCTCTGAGGGGTCCTCTTGGCAGCAGGAACTAAGAGATGAACAGCATTATCTGTGCCCTCAGGGAGCCTGTGTCTGGAGGGTACCCAGCAGGCACAGACAGAACACCACAGCTTGGCCCTGGCACGTCTCTGGCCTGAACTCTATCTCCACCTTCTACTCTCTGTCTCTGGTTGGTTCACATGAACTTTTTCTGCTGGAACATTCCTTCTTCTGTCTGTGGCCAACTCAGGTTCGGTGGCTTCTCACCTTGCAAGAATCTCTCCTGCTTTTCCCAGCCCTGACTAGATTAGCTGTTTCTGTGATGGACTCCAGCCACACTGCTCCCCACAGAGCAATGGCTTCTTGAATCTCCCCAGCAAGGGGGTAAGCTCTATAGAGGCTATTTTCTCTGGCTCCCCACCATGTTCATTTGCATGCATAGTACCTGGCATTTACAAAGGATTTCATTCATTCATTCATTCATTCATTCAGCAAATAGTTACTGAGTCCTGCTGTGGGCCAGGAACTGCTCTAGCCAGTTGGGATATATAAAATATAAAACAGACCCAACTTCTGCCCTCATAGAGCTTGTGTTCTCAGGGAAAGGACCACATAATAGTCACTAATGAGCACATCAAGCATACATTGCATTGGAGGATCTTGGAGGCCAGGGAAAAAGTGGAGCATAATAAAGGATGTAAAAGCGTGGGAGTGGGGGATAAGGTTGCACTTGGTGGATGGTTCCATCCTCACTAAGCTGATGACGACTCCGTAAGTATTGAAGGTGGAGAGGAGCGGGCCACGGGGATGCCTGAAGAGCACTCCAGGCAGAGGGAGTGAGGTGGGTTCATGGGACAGCAAGGGGCTTGCAAGGCTGGAGTGTGTGTAAAGGAGACTGCCAGAGTGGGAGGGACTGGGAGCAGGGCTGAGTGTGTGGTGCACATGCCATGGCGGAGACTCTGAGGAAAATGGAAGGCCCAGATGGTGGGTGTCCTGAGCAGGGAAGTGGCCTCTTCTGCCTAATTCTTCTGCATCTTGGATGAATGGATATCTGAGTCCCATGACAGAGGAAGCACAGGGGGACCACAGAGGCACCTGGGGGAATATCTTACTTCATCCAGGGAATCAGAGGAGGTGACAGTTGACCATGGCCAAGGTGGAGGAATTCAGAGGGGTAGAGGGCCCCTGACCAAAGGCACAGAGGTACAAAAGGACAGGCTCCCTTAGGAGAAGAGCTATAGGCCTCCAGAACAAGCAAGGTGATCGGGTGGGGAGCTGAGCTGACAAGAGCAGCAGAGGACAGATTCTGGAGGGCTTTGAATGCCGGGAAAAGTGTCTAGGAATTGACCCTGAGAGCAATGAGGAAGATGGTGGAATCTGGGCAGGGACAAACCCATGCTCAGCCCCCTCAGAACCCTATTCACTATGGCCTAATGGTAATCTTTCCTCTAGAACTTAAACGGAGACAGAATGTCCTGGGCTGGAGTGGAGTTCAAGTTCATTGTTAACCACAGGCTTTCTCTTCCCTGGGCCTTGGTCTCCCCAGATGTTGAACTGAATTTCTCTGAGGACTCCATGGTGTTATAGGATAAGCTTCAAGGTCCTAGGCCCCACAGCCACACAGACCTGGCACAAATCACTGCTCTTGATAAATTGATAATTCAACAACTATAGGCTGTGTGACCTTGAGCAAGGCTTTTCCGTTTTCTGAGCCTCAGTTTCCCCATCTGTCAAGGGGATGACAGCCCCCGCATATCAAGGTTAGAGAGGAGATGGCCTATGCCTGGTACACAATGGGTGTCTAATAAATGCCAGATGGGTTTCTATGGGCCTGACTCGAGGTCTTTTGAGCTGAAGACGTAGGGACCCTGTAGCTAGGACAGAGGAAGCAGCCTCACCTGGGACGTGTCGTGGTTGAAGATGACGGCATTGAGGTCCCCACAGTTGTAGTGCTTGATGAGGTCCTCTGTGGTGTAGGGCACCTGCAGGCTCCCAGCCCGCACGCTCTCGTGCTGTAGCAGGGTCTGGTTCAGGGCAAACAGCACCTGGCAGAGGAAAGAGAGGGGCATCAGGGCTGAGCTGAGGACTGGCGGCCTCTAGTATGGTCCTCCTCTCTCTGGATTTCAGGGCAACGTGCCTGAAACAGGCGTGTGCACCTAGCACCAGGGCTCTTGGGAGATATTTCCATACCTCCTGCTTCCCGCCCGCTGCTCTGAGCATGATCAGCCTGCTCATCTCTAGCTCTCTGCTCACACCCGTCCCCTCCTGCTCTGGGTTGCAATATCTTATTTAATGACAGGGCAAGATGAAGACTGTGCTTGCCTGGGTTTGGAATTTTAGGTGAGTTTATCTCTGAATTCCTTTTGTGTTCCTGTCCTTAGAAGTGTTCTAGCATATTTTGTAATTAAGAGCACATCCAAACAAAGCAAAACAAAAACGTGTGTTAAGATGTCAAAGCCCAACAGGATGACCACCTTCTCTGGAAGCATCCCTCATCCAGGGGAGGCCCCAGGAACTTGGTCCTCAAAATCTGGTCCACACTCATAGCAGCAGGCATGTTCACAAGAGCTGCTGTCCTCTAGGCCAACATGCCTATCCCTGGGGCCACAGTTACATCAACCAGACCTGCCAGTTATCAGTGTCACTTGGAATGCTATGCAAAAATCAGATACCCAGGCCAGGCCCCCTGGAATCAGAATCTTTGTGTTTTGAACAGTGTCCCTGGGCACTTCCTGAGTAGCCCTACTGCCTGTGGCATCTGTGGATCAGGGCTCTCATGGAACATGAATACTGGGGTACAAAGGTCCTTGATAGATTGTCTAGTTTGGTGCCATCATTTTAGGCAGGGATACTAAGACCCAGGGAGGGGAGGGCTCTTCCTCACATGGCTGGAGCTGGAGCCAGCATCACTGGACGACGTATTCCACACTCCTTTGATCAATGGGTGAGAGAAGCCTGATTATTATTGGGTTATTTAGGAAAGATGAAGAGAAAAACTCATTGCAATCCCCAAGCAAATATCAAGAGGTGATCTCAGATCTCCTGTCCCCACTGCTCTCCAAGCCTCAGGCTGTGTGTTCCCGTCCTCATGGCCAGCTCATTCTGTTCTGCACAATGCTTTAGATGACAAGACCCCGGCTCTTGGCCCACACCCATTCAGGCCCCAGCATCGCTCACTGGGTCTATTGCAATAGCCTCTTCCAGCACTTCCCTCTCCTCCCAGTCCATCCCATGGTTTTTCTTATTTGCTTTGTTTGTTTTCTTTCTTTTTTTTAATTTTTATTTTATTTTTGTTAAAAGCTAAATTCTGATGGCCTCCTTCCTTCTCTTTTTTGCTCAAAGCTTTCCTGCCCTCGGGTTCAAGGGCTAGCTCTTCAGTAGTTTCCAAGGTAGTAATCTGGACCTTTGGCTCCCATGGTCTCGGTGAGTGGTAAACTGAAGGATTAATGGCCCCAGATCTTGACCCCTTCCAGTATCCATGCCCTTCCCCATGGAACTTTGTAGCCCCTTCCCTTTCTGACTCTGGACTCCTTCGGCCAATGCACGCCAGTAACTGCTACAAATGAAGGTACCAAAGCAAAGCACTAAGTGCTTCTGCTGCTGCTACTGCTTCTGTCCCTCTGCCATCACCCTGAGAGCAGCCCAGGCCAGTACGATGAGGGATGAGAGACACATAGGGCAGAATGGTCCAGCCAGGCCACCCTAGATCAGCCGAATCCCAGACAGGAGAGCCCAGCAAGATCAGCAGTGCACACCCTCAACTGACCCAGCCACATGAGCAGGAAATGCCATTGTTTCCAAGCATAACTGTGGGGATGATGTTTGATAGGCCATGCTTCCTTCCCCCCTTGGTGTGGACATCAGATTGCCGTTGTGTATAACTGCCAGATCCTCTCAGTAGGCCACAAACTTCTTGAAGATAGCGATTGCATCTCATTCATCTTTGAATCTCAATGCTCAGCACTGTGCCTGGTAAAGGAAGGATGTCACCCCTTTTTTTCTTTAGTATCTTGACACTTATTGTGGTAGTGCAAGGATACCCGCTAAGGCCTTAAGAACAACCTGGAGGCCTCTAGCACTCTACCACACGCTGCAAGTTCTCACCAAGACGCCTAATCTGAGCAAGAAAAGCTCCTGAAATAGGTACCTGTGGCCTGGCCAAAGTGCTGACACAGGCAGCAGGGCCAGGCCTGTGCTCATGAGATCACCTTCGCCGGTTTCCTCCCAGTTTTGCTAATGGCTGGGCAGGAGAGCTGAACGGTGTGAGAGGCAGCAGTCCAGGCTGCTCCCCCTAATGAGCTGGCTGGAGATGAGGTCAGACTCCCCTACTTCCAGGCCTTCTTCAGGTCCCTAGGCTCGGGCTGCCACCACTGAAATCTGATCTGCAGCCATCTGGTACAGGGTGTCGATGGCAGCATGGTGGCTGGGGATAGATTACAGGAGGCAGTGGCCTTGTTACTGTGGACATTGCTAAGGCAACAGGCACTTCCTCCCACAGGTCACATGCCTTGGATGAAAGTGTCCGTGTCGGGCTGATCCGCTCCCCTCCTCTGAGGGCCTGGGACACACAGACTTCCTGTGACCACACCCAGCCGCTGCACACACCTGCCCGCTGCTGCTCAGAACAGCCCAGCCAAGGCGCCACCTGACCTGCGGTGAGGTCATCGGCCTAGGCGCCAGAAGACCCGGCTGGAGGGGAAACGGCTCCCTTGGCCCCTGCTTGCCTCGAGGAGTCCCTTCTGTAATCATGTATGTGGCCCTCATGCAGCTGGGAGGTGTTCTAGTGGATTAAGTGTATTACAATCTGCAGGGTGTTAAGAACAGCCCTGGCATAGAGTAAGTGCTGAATAGGTGTTTGTTAAATAAAACTTAGAAGAAAATAGTTCAACTCAAGCCTTCCCAGTTTGGAGCTGGGAGGGTCCCAAGAGGTCATCTGGTCCAGAGGGTTTTCAAACCTTTTTTAGCCATGGAATCCTTTTTTGTTGTTTTCTAAAGGAAACTTCCTTGGAACTCCAAATGTAGAGTAGATAAAAATGGAAACTTTGCTGGCTGATGTAAGAGAGGCAGAGCAGAGCCTGAAGTCCTGCCAGCTCAATGCCCCCACGAAGCAGAGATTTCCCCCAGGTACCTGGGAGTCAGATTTGAGAATCACTGATCTCATCCTATGCCCTCATTATTTGAAAGGGGAGAGGAGACAGCGTCCTGGAAGAGGTAGGATGGGGCTTGCTCAAGGTCACAAGTGAACTGGGGCCCAGTGGGCTCAACCCTGTGCCCTCTGACTCCTAACCCAGGACTCTTTGTAGTGCCCTGGACCATGTGGCTGAGGCAGGAGTTCTAGACGTCCACAGTTTCTGTCCAGCAATACTCATTTCTTTCTGAATCCTTATGAAATAACCAGGAATATTTGTCATTGCTGGGTTAGAAATGGAAAGGCCAAGGCCGGGCCATTTAAGATGTGTCCCTATGATATCCTAGTTGGAGGGTGAGGGAGCTTTGTCATCCCCAACTCTGCCACCTTGGTGGGATTTGGTGCCTCTCACAGATTCCTGTCCACAGACTCTTGCAGTGGCACATGTCCCACTGAATTATCCCTTTTCCTGCCTGTCTGTTGACTCTGAATCTCCAGGTCACCCATGGCAAACACTGAGGGGACACGAGAAGAATGCTGCTCCTGGGGCATTGCTCCTCCCGCTCTGCCTTTATGATTTATAAAGAAATCTTCATCCATTCATTACCAGGATTCCCTAGGTTTATTGAGCACTTACTACAAGTCAGGAACTTCCTAAGCTAACTAATTATTTAATCTTTATAGGAACTCAGAGGAAAGAATTTAAAAATAAAAACAAAAAGAACTGCAGCAAAGAGATGTTAAGCACTTTGCCAAGGAGACAGATTTGGAGAGGGGTGAGGCGGGTGTTCAGGTCAGCCTGGAACCTGTCCTCTTACTTAACCACTGCCCACTGGGGCCTCTCTCTGCTGATTTGGGGTGGCGGGTGGTGGTGCAGGAAGCCGTCAGGAATGGTGTCCCTGTTGACAGATGGGAAATGAAAGAAGCAGATGGGAGTGACAGGTCCAAGGCCACACAGTTGGTAGAGGAAAACTGGGGTTTCAAATTACACTTCTCTGTTTCCACACCAGGTTCCCACAACCAGGACTTCAAAGCACTATGTCTTCCTCCAAGAGCACTCTTGGTGCTTCTAACAGAGAGAAGCTGCACCCATTCATTCCTTCAACAAACATTGGCTTTCAGCTCCTTCCATATGGAATCTGAGTTTGGGGGACAAAGTGGGCTTGGTCTCTGACCACATGGAGCTCTTTTTGAGGGCAGACAGGCCCCTGGCAATCATGGTAAGGGTGATACAGGTACAGGCTTTAGGATGAAGTGCCGGCCTAACTTCTGTCCCCTTCCCAGTCACCCTGAATTCCTCAGCCTGGCGCTGCTCAGATTCGCAGGCTTCCATGCTTTCTGCTCTTGGCCACCTTAGAATAACAAACCTTCCTCACCCAGAGCCTCGGTGGCCCACTTGAGGATAATGTTTATGATAAGGTTTTGACATGGAATAACAAACACTGGGCCAGAGCTGCCTCACTCCCCCTGGAAGGCTGTGCCGAGGCCCAGCCATCAAGAGTCCTGGCCTCCAAGAGCCCCTGTGCATCCCCACAGCCCCCTCCCTTGCCAGGGCTCGCTGGGCTTAAGGTGGCCCACGGCATTTGCTGTGTAGGCCTGGAATTTAAATACGTCTTCAAGTGCGGGCCTCGGAAAGAGTGCGGCAGGCGCCAGGAGGATGGGGACAGGTTTATTCTTCCAGAGTCGTCCTGTAAACAGTCCTGGGTGATCTGGAATGGTGGGCCCAAGGCCTATGCTGACTTGGTGGCCCAGCAATGTCATCTGAGAAGAAAGTGGCAGGACTTCCTTTGTTAGGAAGGAGGTTTGGACTCTGGGCCCCAGGAAAGACCTGGCTCTCAGGCTAGGGGTCTAAGGAGGGCTGAGAGCACTGCTACCCCATGCTGGAGCACCGGAGGGTCCCAGAACAAGCCCTCAGCC